GCTTTGTTTGATTAAATGCTTTTTTATTTCTCGCATCACAGCTTTTGTCTACTAACTGAATAGTTTGCTGAAAAAATACTGATATATACATTTCAAATCTAAATTTTCACCGTGCAACGCCGGGTAACTCAGCTAGTATTATTATATACCTCTTTTTGTACGACGCACTTTACCATTCCCATGTTCTTATTTTTATTTTTGTATTCTTATGTGCGACGCTTCTTTTTGGTCTGACTGTCTGGAAAAAAACTGTTTTTTTTAATCACCCAAGATAACGATATGTATGTATCCATCACAGCTGGTATATTTTATTTATAGTTTGTTGATGGACCACCTTGAACTTTGTACTCACGAAGTATTTTTGATAAACATGTTTCACTATTACTAGGATAAAAACTAATTTATTGTCTCTTTTTTATCAATCTAAGAATAAACGGCGTCTATAAAAATTAACTCATGACTTCTTCTGAATGGAAATAAAAGCATCATTCTGTTACTTTCTATTATATAAATAATGACTCTACACTGTGGTATAATCTGTTGTTTGGAGTTTAGAAGTTTGAAAGAAACTAAAGTAAGCACAAAATAAAATATACCAAATCAGCTTGAAGCTTGCAGAGAAATTAAAATTGAGTCATCACTTTCGTTGAGTCATCTTTCATAATGTTTTCCAGTTATGTCGGGTAGCTTAAGTAATCAAATGAATTAACTTAAATGACCTAACTATTTCATGGTTGTTTAATCCAGCATTTGACAGTGTAAACAATGTCTGAATGAAGTTCATATAGAATAATTTGAAAGCTAAATAATCTTATTCTTCATGTTACGTCAGTATTCTTTACTCTTCAGAAGCCTCCAGTAGCACAGCGGAATGTCTGCGGACTTACAACGCTAGAAACCGGGTTTCGATACCCGTGGCGGCAGAGCACAGATAGCCCATTTGTAGCTTTGTGCTTAATTCCAAACAAACAAACAAAACTCTTCAGAAAGTTTGCCCCTAGTGGTACAGCGGTATGTCTGCAGACTTACAACGCAAGAAATCGGGTTTCAATACCCGTGGTAGGAAGAGCACAGATAGCCCATTGTGTAGCTTTGGGCTTAACTTCAAAGAAACAAACAAACGATCAGAAATTTTACCAAGAATTTGTGTGAAGGTTATTTTATGCCAAATTAAAAATCGGCAAATAATTATTAACCGAAATAAAGATAAATTTATTTATATACGCATGCATTACTATACTAATTAATTTAATAATTCATATATTTCAACATTCGTTATTTATTTTTGAATTTCTCGTTGATGTTTTTTATTTTGTTTAATGCTCCACAGACATATGTGTCAATCAAAGATAGTAGGCGTAGAGCCAATTAGAGGAGGGTAGCAGGAGTAATGAAATCAATTAATAACTCTAATGTTTAGATGCCAGTAGGAATTGATGAAGCTAATTTTAAACTGTAGTGAAACAAAACAGGGCATTGTCATCGTGAAAGTACCATTAAGTAACGATTGCCATCGACCTTGCGTTCTAAGGGTGTGAGTGCACCCAAACCATGCCATAAGAATGCGCCACATATTATTACAGAACCACCAGAACCCTTTACTGTTGGAACCAAGCACTCAGGGACGTAAAGTTCTCTAGGTTGATGCTACACGTGCATTTGTCCATTTATCAAGGACATGGTGAAGGATGATTCATCTGACCATATCACATTTCTCCACAGCTCGGTAGTCCATAGCCTGTGCTCTTTGAACTACTGGACACGCAACCGTGCATTGCCAGGTGTGATGAATGGTTTGTGCACTGCAACCCGACTATGGTATCCCGTTCT